ACCAGAAATAGTTTAATAACATTTATTAGACAAAAAAAAAACATTATATACCGGGTGCCCACGAGATCACTTTCCGGCTGCCATTTTTTTATTTGTTTATCGATATTGGTAGGGTTGATATTCTAACCAAACGCCATTTTTATGCATTTAAAAAAAGTTTTCCTGACTTCCGGTTTCACCGGAAATTACCAAAACTTTTGATTTTTAAATGGCACACCATGTATATTTTCTGTTTTTCGGATTCTACAGATCGTTTCACGTCCTAATGCACCACTTTTGAATCGAGTTTTTTCCAAATTTTATTTTTAAATTAAATTTAAATTTTTTAACTAGAGTGCTATGATCATCCTAAAATGACTCTACATACTTTACCTAATTTCAGAAAAATACAAACTTAATTTTATCTTTGTAAACTTTTTTGATAAAGGGCTGTAAACTCGATTATTTTAGTATTTTTGCCCTAGCTTAAAAACTAGAATAGAAAGATATCACTTTCATAACATCACTAAATGCAGTATTTTAGGGCGAATCCAACGATATAATACACCACGATATTTTTCATAATTTTCGTTTAAAGGGGGTGTGCGCCAAAAATTAAAGTTTTAGTGTAAAAAAATCTAAGAATAGGGAGATTTTGGACCAGTGAAAACTGTCTTTTAATAACGATTTTTGTGGATATTCCGATTTTGAGCATGCGCACTACTCAAAAAGGAAAGAGGCGGAGCTTGTAACGATAACGAAGGTACTTTATTTAAGGCGAATAACTTTAGCGAATTTTTTCCTTATTTGACACTAGCGACACGCGATTTTCGACTTTATGCATTTGACAGCATGGCCTAGGCCGGAAAAGTGTTTCCCGTATTGTTATTCATTGATACCTTAGCAACTATTGAAATATAGTTAAAATACCAGAATATTGAGTTTTGCGACCTGTCAACTGGTCAAAAATGCTGACATTTCTTGTCAATCGCAGAAAAACATTTTTTTGTTTTCCATTTCCCATTCTAATCAATTTTTTATAATGATTTCAAACAGTTTCAGCATACATGACGCCAGTATAATGGGACGGTAGCTGTCTGGATGTTCTGGATTTTTGTTGGGTTTGCATATGACATGGATGAGATACTCTTCCCACTGATCAGGTATGGGGTCACCCCTCATCAGGTTGTTGTTTATGTATAGGAGTTGATGTTTGGCTTTTTTTGGGAGATTTGAAATCATGGAGTATGAGATTTCGTCAAGTCTCGGGGCTGAGTCTTTGTTTTCCTTTAGTGCAGCGTGGAATTCACCCAAAGTGAATGGGATATGTTCTGTCGTATCTTGGATATTGACCTTTGGCTGGGTTGGAAAAGCTGCCAGCCTATCAAGAATTTTCACTCTTACATCGTCTGAGGTAATTGTTTGGGATTGGTTTTCGTACTAGCCAGCAAATTTTTTAAGTTTAGACCAAACTACCTTGATGCTAGAGTCTCTGTTAACTGATGAACAGTAGGCCATGAATTTTAGTTTTTTCTTTTTCCTGAAAAAACGTCTTGTTTTTGCAATAGTATGTTTCATTTTAATGAACTTTTCCATAGATGGGTTATTTCTGTAGTCCCTTATAGCTGTTTTTCTTTTTTGGAGTTACTATGTACAGGGTGTCCGAATTTGGATGGTTTTCATAGGAAACGTCAATTTCTGAGCAAGATACAACAAAATGAACCCCCCACTCCGAGGCTCGTATTTCTTGAAATTTTGATTGGTGCAAACCGCATTTTGATATCTTCAACCGTTTAGCCGCTAGAAGGCGATTCTCGATTTCGAGCAATACTGTGAAATCTTCATAACTTTTTTGCTTATGAAAATAACTGATTTCCGTAAAAACTTCCTAGAAGCACTTTTTTTGGGTAGGATTTTTTTTTTTGAAAATCGACAATTTTCCTAGACTATTAGTTTTATCACTTTTTTTTTACTTTGTTTATGTTTTTCTTAAGTTTATTTATGATATTTATTATTGTTGCTTTTTGTTAGTTTATCAGTGTGGGTACCGTATTTATGTATTTTTTAATATTAATTTTTACGAAAAAATATGTTCGAATAAAAAAACGTTGCTGATGATGTATTTTTAACTTTAAAAACTAAGAACCTTCAAGAGGCGGTGGGATGTAAATTGCACCTGGCGGTGAATCAGGTAAGGCCGGCACTGACCGGATATTGCCCGAGTACCTTGAACGGGTGATCCGTAAGAGGGATTTTTGCCTGAGTACCCTGAACAGGCATTTCCCTCCGAAGGCTTGTGGTGTCACGCCGCGAAGTTACCAGACACTTAAACTTCCCTTGGCAATAGGGATTTCGCCTGAGTACCCTGATCGGGCACCCTCTATTGCCGAATATTACCCGAGTACCCCGGACGGGTGATCTATAAGAGAGTCTTTCGCCTGAGAACCCTGAACAGGCATTTCTCTCGAAAGTTTAAATGTATGCCGGAATTAAAATTTACTATCACACAGGACTGATACTTCCGTTATCCGAGATCCGTATTTTCTTTGCTTGGGTTACCGGAGTTTTTACCATTATTGCCTGTTGCTACTAATTTTCACTGCTACTGCTCAGCGTCATTACATTACATTTCCGTTACGACACCTGACCTGTATAAAGAGTAATTAGGTAACTCTGCATCTCACTGCCTGTTTCACCTGCTTTTTCGCACCGCCGTTCATAGCTTTCTCTCACCGTTTGTTCACCATTTGTTCGCACTGAGTTCGCACTGAGTTTGTTCGCACCCTCTCTTGCATGTTCTCGCTTGCTCTCCATTTTTTTGTTGCCTTTTAAAATTAATTATTATTAATATTTTTTTTATCTTAGAATATCCCGTCTAGGTCGAAAACATCCATATATACAGGGTGTATATTTTAAGTGATACCACTATTGCTATATCCGAAACGGTAAAAGCTACAAGGTCGGTTAAATTAGAAAAAAGTTGCATTTTTTGATGCCCATTCAAGACTCATTTACAGTGTTGCCAAATTCCTTTTAGTTTATGAAATACAGGGTGATTTCTAAGAAACGCCTAAAAATATTCTATCAAATATTTCGAAAACTATTTATTTTCGGGACATAATTTAAATTTAAAATTTTTATAATGTTTTTCGCTCTACAACATGGCATCTTCAAATTTCGAATCCGACGTTTCGTGGTTAAACTACCATCATCAACTTCATTTTTTTAAATACGGACCTGGATTTTTTATGACACTTTAAGAAAGCACTCTTTATTCCCTTTTCAACGACATACCTTTTAAGTATTATTGGTCGACGTTTCTGATCTAGAAAGTGATCATCAGTGATTTTTACCAAAATTTTACCTTAATTCGGACCTAGTTATGAACCTATATTTCAGAAACTAAAAGAAATTTGGCAACAATGTAAACGAATCTTAAATGGGCATCAAAAAAGGCAACTTTTTTCTAATTTAACCGACCTTGTAGCTTTTACCGTTTCGGATATAGCAATAGTGGTATCACTTAAAATATACACCCTGCTACAGGGTCAGTTAAATTAGAAAAAAGTTGCCTTGTTTGATGCCCATTTAAGACTCGTTTACAGTGTTGCCAAATTTCTTTTAGTTTATGAAATACAGGGTGATTTCTAAGAAACGTCCAAAAATATTTCATCATTTATTTCGAAAACCATTGATTTTTGAGACACAATTTAAATTTGAATGTTTTATAATTTTTTTCGCTCTAGAACATGGCATCTTTAAATTTTAAATCCGACATTTCGTGATCGAGATACCATCCTCAACTTAATTTTTTTAAATACGGACCTGGATGTTTTATGTCATTTTTAGGAAACGTCCTTAATTCTCTTTCCAAAAATGACATAAAAAATCCAGATCCGTATTTAAAAAAATGAAGTTGATGATGGTATCTCGATCACGAAACGTCGGATTTAAAATTTGAAGATGCCATGTTGTAAAGCGAAAAAAATCATAAAACTCTCAAATTTAAATTGTGTCCCGAATATCAATAGTTTTCAAAATAATTGACAAAATAATTTTAGGCCTTTTTTATAAATCGCCCTGTATTTCATAAACTAAAAGGACTTTGGCAACACGGTAAACAAGTCTTGAATGAGCATCAAAAAAGGCAACTTTTTTCTAATTTAACCGACCTTGTAGCTCTTACCGTTTCGGATATAGCCATAGTGGTATCACTTAAAATATACACCCTGTATATATTTTTCTTTCGTAATACAGAGGTTTCCATTTTGGTTTCATCCACTGTTTTATTGCTTATCCTGACCCAAACACCTTTCAGTCAGTTTTCAGAAAACGCTTAGGGCGGGTATTATAAAACTACTTTGAGAGTTAACTTAAAGTTAACTTCTTTTTTTTTTTTTTTTGCTTTCTAGTCAGAATCCACCACTGTGGTTTGTCGACAAAGCCCTCGAACATCACATACAAATCAAATCAAACAAACAAACAAACATCCATGCACCTAGCCGGGATTCGAACCCGAGACCCACTGCATGCAAAGCGAAAACACAACCGCTGAGCTGCTTGGGTCTGCTGCTTCTGGAATTACATGTAATTCAAAAAGTTAACTTCAAGTTAACTGTCAGAGTAGTTTTATAATACCCGCCCTTAAAGGCTTTTCAGGTGTTTATGCCAGGGACTCGCCGAGTCCTGAGTCAGTATCACTTGCGACCCCTGGATTACCATTTCTCCTCTGTATCAAAGCCACCTGGTGCATGTGGGCCCTCAACCACTTTAATCCTCAGGGTGGCGCCCGAGACATACCGCCGAATAAACCCTAACTGGGAAACCGCCCTGATTACACAAAAGTTAGCGCCTTACAGTACCTGATGAATTTGTTGTTTGTCCTCGAATAAGTAGCCTGTTGATTTTATAGGGTTATTGACATTTACAGAATGGCATTTTGGTAGAATAAAGATTATTGGCATTTTTTTTGAAAAATTATAACTCAACTTCAAATATGCCAAGCTTTTACTTGTTGGGTTAGAAAACGTGGCATTTTTGAGTGACTGTCTAAAATTCGAAGCTTACCCGGTGCTTACCCGTTGCCTCTCATGTTATGTCCAACGACGACCGTCTGAACGAGGCCCTCAAAAATGTTGCAATACATGCAGACCCTACATGGAAATATAGAGATTATGATCCACTCCAGCAGACCAATATGGTGAGAGTATAAAATTAAAAATGTGTATTTTTGTCATCTTGACATTTGGAATGAGCAAATTGGCACTGGAAAACTGGAAAAAATTGCCTTTGATTATCTATATGGATCTATAAGTAAAAATCAATAAAAATCTCCATTTCATAGGGCAAAGCAAGTTGAGCTACATTGCTAGATTGCTACAAGTATACAAATTCTCAGTTAGTATAGGTAGGTAGGAACCTATCTATTCCACAAACTTTTGGATTGTGTTGAACTTTAAGCTATTTAAAAGTAAGACAGTGAATTCTAGCAATTTTAGTATCTACTTTCAAAGTAGACAAAAACTATGTCCCAATGATGGATTTTTGTTCAATGCTACGATTACTGAGGGTGCAAAGCTTGCTATCTTGTTTTTAGTCTGTGGCTCAGTGCTATTGCTTTGTCTTCGCTATTTTTTTTTGTCTCTTAGGTATAATATATTTTTTCTAATCCCTAATCTTCAAATTATAGATATAAACTTATAGTTGTACAATTTCTAGAACCTTCACCTCACCGCCCGGCACCTCAATGTGCAATACAGTAAATGGACAAAACTGGTTCCCAGAACCGTAAGAGACTCAATTCCTCAAAGTAAACTCGCCAAGTACGGCAATTATGAGTACGACGAAGCACGAGAAATGTCGTACACCTCTAGCGTAAACAAATACGATAGATTGAACGACACTTTCGATAAAGATGACGCAGATGAACCGTGGATGATGGAAGAAATTGATGATTTAGTAGCTAGTTATTTGAGTTATAATAGTAGCGCAGAAAGTATTTGTTATAAGAATAAGCACAGAAAACTGCCATGTTCGAAGAATTTGTGTGAAAAATCGTTTCAGTCGCCTTTTTTGGAAGCTACTAGTTTTGATGAAATGGTTTTGAAACTACATATAAGTAAGTAGATTTGTCAGATGGGGTGGCAAGAAGAATATCGTTGTGTTAACTTAAATCTCGATATTCCTTCCGAACGAGTTAAAGTCAGAAATGAATCTGATGGTGTGTCGAATATGACAACCACTCAGATATCACATAGAAAGTTAGAAAGTGTCTCACAAAACAAAAAGTAGATAGTTTGGTGAACATTTTGTGAATCTTGCTAAATGTGAAGTTAGGATATTTGTACAAATAAAATCTCAACTTGTTTTCGGGAACCTCCAGTCATCACTTCATTATTAGTGTTACACCTCACTAAAAATATGTTTTTTTTCTTCCTAGCTTCTCCCTACATAAAGAAGTTATGGGAACCTTTCTACTATCCTCAATACCAACCGAAATATGTTACCCAATCAAAATCAAAAAAACTAATTTTGTTTAGCTCAACAGCCTGTCGTTTGTTTTCCTCGGTAGAAACGGAAATTGAAAATAGTGATTGGCTTGAAGAAATCACTGCTGACAAGGAAGGAAGCATTTCTATGGACCTGATTGAGGTAAATTTATCAATAATCTCAAACAGGTTTTCTGTTTGCCTATTGCAATAATTATTGTAAGAAACATTTTTTAATTTATATTTTAGCAATTCAATATATCTGAGTCAGTTTTTTTCAAAAACCATTCTCAACCGTCAATATCGTCACCTCCAAAAGACGACAGTCCCAGCAAACGTTCATATTCAGCAGTGCTACAAGGAGGCCCAATTAATCAACAACCACAAAATGACGTTGCAACGTGTTCGACTAGTTACGCGTTCCCGCCATTGAAGGCTGCAAAGAACATAGAAAAAATATGTGAATGGCCGTATTTGAACGATAAAAACTTAGAATTGGCGAAAAGAAACGAAGTGCTTATGGAAACACTAACCAACAAACAACACAAAAGTACTAGTGCTAATATCCCTGCAACGACTAATACATTAGAAATTCAACGACCTAAAACTACGACAACTTTCCCTATGAGTTATCCTAATTACCAATATTTAACTCGTCAACAACAAGCAAATTTTATCAATCCTCGTTTATATTCTACAAACTACATCAGTAACACTAATGTACTAAATTTTAGGCAAACCAGCTATTATCCTTTGTTGCTGCATAATGCTGCAGTTCCTTATCAGCAACCATTCAGACCTCATTACAGACAAAATGTAATATATCCACAAATAAGACCTCAATTGCTGTTACCGAATCAAAACCTACTTCTACAGCCAAAACAGACAATACATATTTTACCAAGACCTCCTGTTGCCTCGCCTAGCTACAATAATTTTAGGAACACTTCTCGATATAATCTCAGACCAATTACGCCAAATAATAAATTACCGATGAAAGACGAAAAACTTTTTATGCCTCACATAGAAAGTATTGTAACTAAAACGGTAAATGCTGTATTAGAAGAACCAGAACCTTTATTGCCGCTAACTGAAACATCTTCGGACGAATTGGAACGACAAGCGTTGGAACAATACATTCCATCTAGTACTGATTTGTTCGACGAGTTGGAACGGCAAGCGATTGAAGAATACGATGAAGACGAAACGTCGGAAAACTGGAACAGCCCCCCGAAATATCCTAACATCGCTTTCGGGGGGTGCACTAGAGTTAAGTTGTTTAGTGTTAGTTGCCTAAAGAAGGTGCTGGGGTTTCTCTATTTTAATTGAATATAAAAGCTGATGTCAAGTATAATTTAAGAAAAATTTTTGCCCATAAAAAAATTCAACAAACGATGTTCTTGTATGTTTAAAAATATTAAATTTTTATTGCTATTTCACATTTTTGTTGTTTGAATGTGGTAACTGTGTCTCAGTTCAAGTCCGAGAATTTCCAAAACACAAAGACTCGAGTTCTTTTAATCCGGAAGAAGTTTTCCCAAATATTTTGTAGACTTCCTAATAGTTCCTACTCAGTGGCGGATCCAGGATTTTCTTCAGGGGGGGGGGGGGGCAGGCTAAGAATTATCAACAATGATTTTTTGAACATTTATTTCTACTTTACTTATACGTTAAAGAATGTTGATACAGGGTGATCCAATTTGGATACTTTGGATCTGAAACGTCAATTTTTGAGACAGATACATAAAAATGAACTCTCCAGTCTGCTGAGGCTTAAATTTAATGATATCTTGATTGGTGCAAACACTGCAACCCGCCTTTTGATACCCCTCAACCGCTTTGCCGCTAGAGGGTGTTTCTCGATTTTTATTTATGAAAATAATTGATTTCTGTATTAATAAAAAACCGAGGGGGATGTCACCCATAAAATTTTGTACACTGAAATTCCTCTAAATGGAAAATTCCTTGCAATTCCTTATAATTCTACACAATTCCTGGTAAATTCCCCACAATTCCTAGCAATTCCCTGCAATTCCTTATAATTCCTTGCAATTCCTCGCAATTTCCTGCAATTCCTCGCAATTTTCTCCGATTCCTCGCAACTCTTGGACAAATAATTTTATGTTTGAATAACCTTTTTGCAATTAAAAATATGTTTATTCCAATGTTTGGAAAATAATAATTATAACAGATCTTCTTACTTGGAAATTTTGTACAAGTTATTTCGTAAGTTATTAATTTTGTTGAACTCTGTTCGCTTTAGCTCGAAGGGGTAACTACCCATATTGCATACCTACTGGTCCATAAAATATACAGTGAGCACAAAGGTTGGAATAAAATCTGTAAAATATACAGGGTGGATATTTTTCAAAAAACCTCAGACACGTTAATTTTTTATTTTATTGGCCGTTTTTTTGATGATAATACCATATATACAGGGTGACCCAAAAACAAGTTATGACAGGTAACTTTATTTCTTCAAATGAAAATACCAATTTTTTTATTTCATTTTTAAATTCTATGTTAAATTCTGGACATATTTCATGTATCATGATGTCCTATACCTATCTTTGACCGTTTCCGAAATATTGACAGTTGAAAATCGACTTTTTTGCAACTTTGACAGGCTGTAGAACCTAAACGGTTAATTTTAGGGGAAAACCGATTCTACATTCCTATTCTAAATTTTTATAAACTATCATTTGATACCAACTTTGAATTTAATCCTTGATTAAAAAATCCAATTAAATTTAATCTTCGGCTAAATTGAGAGTTGGTGTCAAATGATAGTTTATAGAAAACTAAGACGAGCATGTATGATCGGTTTTGTTCTACAATTAACCGTTTAGATTCTACAGCCTGTCAAAGTTGCAAAAAAGTCAATTTTCAACTGTCAATATTTCCGAAACAGTTGGAGATAGGTATAGGACATGATACATGAAATAGGTTCAGAATTTAACGTAGAATTTGAAAATGAAATAAAAAATTGGTGTTTTCATTAAAAAAAAAAAAAAAATTGCTGTCATAACTTGTTTTTGAGTCACCCTGTATACATGGAATTATCATGAAAAATATCCACCCTGTATGTTTTATAGATATTATTCCAACCTTTACGTGCTCAATGTATACTTTTGGTTCACTTTTGCAATATTATCCTTTTTAGCCCATGTATAGCGGTTTTGTTTTTTTTTTCAAGAAACTTCATTTTGTATTCGTTTTTGTGATGATCCAGAAATTTGACCCGATATTTACAAAGTCTTTACTGTAAAAATAAAATTTTATCAAATAATCAAAATTTAATTCCGGTATTTTTAAATCTGTATCGATAAATTAAAATAAAACAAATTAACGCTACGTAGCTCGACACACAGCGTGTGTGTCATGTGTCATCAAAAACCCGATCAATGAACTTTTTTCTTAGCCAAGGCATGTTAATTAATTTGATGATATATGGCATTCTTGAACCAATAATGTTTTGACCTCAATAAATCAGAATATTGCGACATAATTAATCGTTTTCAGGCTAAAAATGATATAAAATTCCAAGGAAATTGCATCATCTTAATTGTCATGGACAAAGAGATGTGGGGTCATCGATTTTATATAAAAAACCGCGTTTGAGTTGCCGGGAGGACAATTGCCAGTTAAGAGTTGTCCAGTCCAGTTTGAGATAAAGTCTGCCCAGTTTCGCGAAAAGTTAGTTTTATGGCGTATGGCCTCGGGTATAATTTAACTTAGAAAATTTACGGAAAATCGTGAAAGTACCTAATAACATTTGAAATTTGTTCAATAATTTATGTGCGTGCTAGCTAAATATTTTGAGTAATTAATTAAGTAATTTTACGTGTGTTTTATGGACAAAATGTAAGTACTCTATAGTGACAAGATTTATTTTTGATGAACATGACTTTGTGTGAATTTTACTAGGAAACTTTTGATTTTAATCATGGTGGAACTTTATTACAATAAACTTAATAACTTGAGTGTTTTATAAAGTAAACATTATCGCATAACTTAATTACCTTCAGATATAATGACATTTAAAGGTGCAAAGAAAATATGAAGAGTACTTATAATGCATTTAACAATATACAATTTTGAGTTGGAATTATGAATTAAACAGTTGAATTTATTAGCTAGGCATAGGAATCCGAAAATAGAATTTGTTCTGATAACCTATTAACTGCAATAGGAAATTTTGAAAAGAAATTTGATGACATAAAATAGAATTGTTTTCTTAAAATATTGGAAACTTGTTAAAAGGAAACTTATCCTCATTAGTTTGTTTCTCTCTCTTGCAAATAGACCCTCCTCCACAGATTTTAGATAGCAAGCTCCAAGTATATAAACACCATAAATATACCGCTCGCCATTTACCATCTAACAATTTAAATAGAGTACTTGGGGCGTTTTGCTACATTGGTGTCAGTTGTGTGGGGTTGTCTATTATTTTTACATTGAGAGCAACTAAGAGGTTATTTTAATTGTATTGTGAAAGCAACGGTAGGGTTAAAAATTAATTTTTGAGCTGAGAGAAACTGTAATTTTGTTTGTTAAATTTGAGTTGCGAATAACCAAGCGACGTTAAAAATGTCCAACCCTCCGAGTCCTTTACCGCCATTCGGCACCACCATGCCTAACCTTTTTATAGGATTAGATTCCATACCTACATATGATGGAACTACTAGTGCTGAAGAATTTTTAAATGTTCTAGAAGAAACCAGTATTTTAGCTAACTGGTCAGACACCCAGAAGGTTTCCATAGCTCGACTAAAGCTTAGACTTCGAGCTAAACAATTTATCGACGCCGAGCCAACCCTCAAAACCACTACAAGCTGGGCTCTAATAAAGGACAGTTTGAAAACTCAGTTTGGCAGGCATTATGTGAAAGGGACCGCTATGAAACATTTTATTGAATGCAAGCAACGAACAGGTGAAGCTTGTAGACAGTACCTTACTAGATTAAAGGTATTGGGGCACCGGACCGCTACACTCACCGGAAATCCAGCAACAGATAAATTGTTGGAAGAGAAATTACTCGGAGACATTGCTACCCAATTTACCCTAGGATTGTTGATGCCGATTAAACAACGTGTACTCTCAGGAAATCCAGCAACCTTGGACGAAGCATTAGAAATAGCTGAGAGAGAAGAATCGATCGAAAATCTTCTGAAGCCACACAGTCGCGAATGCCGCGGAATTATGAATAAAAAAAAGACAGCAGGCCCAAGCCGTCAGAACCGTTGGAACCGCGAAACGCCACAAGCTAGAAAAATGGTGTGCTACAATTGCAACCAGGAAGGTCACGTAAGACCAAATTGTCCGAAACTAAAGGACGTGAACAGACAAGGTAACAGAGGTACGCTTGTTTGTTTCAGAAGCCACAAGGAAGAGCATTTTGCTAAGAATTGCCGCACGGAAGTCGGCGCTTTTACCCAGCAATCGGAAAATAGGCAGAATTTAAACTCGAACGCAGCCCTGTGATGTTCGACGGAGACATCGTTGTGAGACACAATTTTATTGTGGTGAATACAGATTCATTAAGGGCAGATTTACTATTGGGAATAGATTTTCTGCGCCAATATGGTATTAAAGTAGATTGGCAGAACAACTGCATGTATGCTTTTGAGAAGCAAATCCAAATGTATGATGAAAATATTGATGCTGAGTATGCGATACAGAAAGGAGAAAAAGAGTTGATGAACAAAGTTAGAAACTTGGAAATGGAGCTTGATGAGCTGAAAAATTATGTGAAAAATTTGGAGAGAAATGGAAATAGAGCTAATATGGAAGATAATGTAGGAAACGAAGAGACGATGACATTTTCAAAAGGGAAGGATCCGACGTCACTGCACATGATGAAGGATCAGGTTCTAACAGCGATGTGCAGTCGCTGTGAAACCAAATCCAACTTACAGCTTGGAGCAACCCAGGAGAAAGTTATGACGTCATCAAGGAACCCGGCCAGTTCCAGTAAATTCCATAGATCCATTCCACTTCGACAGGATGAAGTTATTAGAGGTCCAGTGAAGGACGAGACTTTGTTGTTATCATTAGAGAAAAACTTTAATGAAGGTCCAGTGAAGGACGAGATTTTGTTTTTTCCATTAGATAAAAACTCTAATGAAGGTCCAGTGAGGGACGAGATTTTGTTGGATGAAGGTTTTCCGGCGTCTCTGGGAGAGAAGGTTATTAAACCGCCGATGATTGATGAAGTGTGCCATGGAACCCTATGCGGAACTTCAAGGGCTAAGGCTCAACACATTAAACAATGTGATGAAGTTTCGACAGGCTGGCCAGTAACACCAGGTTTTGAGAGGAAGGACAGTGAACTTCCAGGAAAATTCCGAAGGAATTTTGAGGGTCCATTAGAAAGGAATTCTAATGAAGGTCCAGTGAAGGACGTGGAATTCAGAAACCAAGATGGTTTTCTGG